AGAATATAATCGTGTATCTAAGGAAGTTTGAAAATACCGATTTTTAGTATCATAATTTTCAGTCTTCTTTCTTAAAAAGGTGAGAAAGATATACCAGGACTGACAGATACGACTGTGCCTCGTCGCCTGGGGCCTAAAAGAGCTAGCAGAATCCGCAAACTTTTCAACTTGTCCAAAGAAGATGATGTCCGGCAGTATGTTGTGAGAAAGCCCCTTAACAAGGAAGGTAGGGGTAGAGAAAGTAAATCTTTTGTCAGGGTGGGGGTGTGTGTGTCGTTTCCTGGTTTAAAAAAAAAAAAGATTGCATCTTACTGTTGTGGTGCCATTGGCTCTTTGTCACTGTAGGCTTGGCACTAAAATAGTGTGGAGCTGGAAGGTTTGTGGGAGGGCTGGAGAAAGGGACACACATACTGAGCCAGTGGCAGAAGTGAGATCGGAACTGACTATACGGTTATGATCAGTCTTTCTGCATACTAGTGAGTGAGCTTCCTAAGCAATAGAATTTTGGCTACTTTTGACTGGTGGAATTGTTTCTGAAGGATGTATGGTGGGTTATCAAGGGATCGTAGTGATGTTTAGAAGAGGTCCTTAATAAACACTAATTTTTAATGTGCCCCAACACTAGGTTACTCAGTTCATATGATTCTGGAGCTATGCTTTATCTAAAAGAATCTAATCATTACCATGTGCCCTGTTGGTTCTACTATGATAGGGAAATTAGAGGAGCTACACAATAAAATAGCTAGTGCATTAAGGTTTGCAAAGTGCTTTGCATGTTATTTGATCCTTATTACCTTGCAGTGTTGGTGCCATTTCCATTTTGTGGATTAGGGAACTGAGGCTAAATAAAATGTTAAATGGCTTGTCCAGGGTCGCACAGCCTAGTGTCTGAGGCAGGATCCTATACTTTGGTCTTCTAAGTTATAACATCCCCTCTGATATGTAACCTTACTTGCCAAGTGCAGCTCAAGAACTAGGATTATTACTTGTCAACTTTGTCTTTGTCTTTATGGGACAGTAAGCCAGTGGAGTCCCTCAGAATCATATTAGGAAGAGATTTGAGTAAAAGGTTAAAGAAACGGATTCTGCAGGGTCACAGTCTGTTCAGCTAACTGGTGATGGTAGGAAATTGCTATGAAAAGTATATACCTTCTAGATCTGTTTTTAAAAAATAAACTTAAAGAAATGATACTTACTGATGGAGTTTGGGATTCTTCTAGGTGACTCCTGAATTGGTCTCAAATAGCATCTAAAATGTGGAATTCTTTTCTGCAATAAATTTAAAAATTGTTTAATAGAAGTACCCTTGTTAGGTTTTTGGAGGGGAGCTATGCTATTTCCATTGTTTTTGTTTTTTAAACAAGTTTGACTCAAAAAGTTTGAGAACGCTGTAAGGCATCTGTATCGGGTAGTCTGGTTGGTATGTAGCTATGTAAGTGTAATTTTCTTGAACGTAACTTGTTAAAAAAAATAATTCTAGTAATCAGGTGATGGGGTTCCATTTAGCTAGATTTGAGTTTTCTCATGTAACCAGTAATGAAATTTAAAGACAGATAATATGATAAATTACCTTTCTTTTCCATGAGTCCTTGATTTCATAAATTAAGTATGAGCAAAGGACTAGATTGAAAAATAACAAATGATAATAGTTTTATTGAAGTGGCCTAGAACTACAAATTCCCCAGGAAGTTGATTAACATTTGAGCACATTAGGTGATCAGTGAAGCTTTATCCAGCAATAAAATTCTCATAAGTGATTTTTAGTTTTCGTGTATGATGGAAGAGGATAGGAAAATAAACTATATTGATATTGGGATAAATATTATTTTGTTGGTGGATTTTCTCCATCACCCCCCTTCCATTTTCCACTATAGATGTTTTAATAGTTGAAGGGCTTACAGTTTTTTCCTATTCCATGTTTTTAGTAGCTTAAACAAAAAAAAAAATAGAAACCCCTGGTAGTACTTTTATTTGCTCATTTTTTTAGGACTTCATTTGTAAGCATTGCCAGTTAAGGATTCCAGTTACAAATAAGGATTCCTCAAACATTTACTTGATTTTATTTAGAGATTTTTAAAAATAGAGTGTAATCTGAATTTACCCATGTTAACAATTAGTGAAGGTTAAATGTGTTGTGTTTTAACACAATAAGTGTTAAAAATAAGTTGTAGCATTTTGCGCTATATAACTTAAGTTTGTTGCTTATAAACAATTACTAATCAGAGTAGCATTTAAAATGCTTTGGGTACCTATTATTTTAAATTCATGTTAAAAGGGATAGGTCTTTAGGAGGCTAGGATTTTGACTTCATGTGTAACAAACAGCAACATTCATTAATTCTACTTTTTTATAGGTAAGAAACCCAGGACCAAGGCTCCTAAAATTCAGCGTCTGGTGACTCCCCGAGTTTTGCAGCACAAACGTAGACGAATTGCTTTGAAGAAGCAACGTACCCAGAAGAACAAGGAAGAAGCAGCAGAATATGCTAAGCTTTTGGCCAAGAGAATGAAGGTAAAGTTATATGTGGTTTTTCTCAATTTCAAAAAATCCTAATTTTTATCTTCTGGATTGATAGGATGATGGTGATAAGTTTGGTGATATTCAAACTCATTGTATATTACTTCCATATATGTGTACATAGTTCTTTGAACAAATAAAGTATAAACTTTTAATGTGAGTTTTTTTTTTAACTTAGGAGGCTAAAGAAAAACGACAGGAACAGATTGCTAAGAGACGTCGACTGTCTTCCCTGAGAGCCTCCACGTCAAAATCTGAGTCCAGTCAAAAATAAAGTTTCTAAAAATGTGTTAGAAATAAATACCTTTTGTCAAGTAGAGGCTTGGTTTTTGTTTTACTTCGTTTTTTTTAAATTTACAAAAATCATAGATTTTGTGAATCGTTTGCTTATGCCCACAGGTCCCATCTCTTTCCCTTGGCTACTAAGAAATTATACACAATGACTAATTTACTACCTATTGCAAATTGGTTTCAATGTCTACCCACCCTGTTGTTAGGTCACCCACAAGTGGCTTTTAGGTATTTGTCATGGACTTCTCCACTGCCTTCCACAATTAACCACTGCTATTGGACTTAACTTCAGCAAATCACTCTTGGTTCTAACTAACCCCTTGTTCTTTTTTAAACAGCATTAGTATTCCCTAAATGGGTGTATGTTTGCCCTTTTGTCATACATCTACTGAAATGCCTGGATGCTGCCAGAGCAGATTCATCGGTAGGTGCACTTTTCTTCCTTAAAGATGTCCCACTCACACCCCTGACACTGGGTAGAGAGACATCTCTTTGATGGTATTCTCCTCATATCAGTCAGGGGCACAGCAGCAGTCCAAGTTCATCGGAGCTTGATGCTCTGCTTGGTAGTCATAGTTGATTCATGCCCTGGACACGTAACTATCCACTGGTCTTAGGATGGAAAAAGTATTGGTCACTGAATTTCATTATTTGTGGTTCTTAGAAACTTCTTTGGAACCAAGTGAGGTAACTTCAGAAGTTATGTTGGGGGAGGGGGTATATCTAAATGTATTTGTTTGACCTCACTTCCTCTGGGGGAGTAGAGTGCAATGATATCATGGACTATCAAGTCATTTTTTTAAAAATGTCAGCTGTTAGGACAGGTAGAACTAGTTGTATGATGCTTTTAAAAAAAAACTTTTGGGGCTTATGTGACACATTTCTGCTTTATATCTTCTTAACTTTCAGCCATACTGGTCTATTTTACTATTTTTACTCCTGAACATGTCAAATACCTTTTATTGTTTTAGTTCTATCATTTCAGTCATGTCAAATTTTTCATGACCCCATTTGGGGTTTTCTTGGAAGAGATACTAGAGTACCAAATTGGGTTAAATGATTTACCTGTGGTCACACAGCTAGTAGATGTCTGAGGCCAGATTTGAACTCTTTGTCAGATATCCTACCCTGCTATCTATAGGGAACAAATCAGGAGCACCCTTTCCATTTAGTTTCTATGCAGATGCCAACTCTTAAATGAAAACCTTCCTTGACCCCCTTTTGCCTTTGTTATCTACACAACAGTTTTGTGCCTCGATGTACTTAACTGGGAGTATTTCTTTTCTACTACACTATACACTCAGAGGTTAGGGACAATGCCATACCCCGGTGGCTACCATGATTACTTTCCCTTAGACGGTTTTTTTGTGGCAATAACATCCGTGTAAAATGCTACCCAAGATCAGTTCTTACCATAAAGGTGGTACAATGTGAAGAATTTTATTTAGGCTCAAAGGCCAGTTCTAGCACTGTGACTCTTCTGGGCTTCAGTTCTCTTATATCTAAATCGACAATCTTTTATCTCTATTCCAGGGCCTTAGTAAAAGTAAAAACATTTTGGGGCTAAACAGTGGGGTTAAGTGACTTTCCCAGGGTTACACAGCTAGTAAGTGTCAAGCGTCTGAGGCTGTTTTTTAACTCGGGTCCTCCTGAATCGAGGGCTAGTGCTCTATCCCCTGCCACATAGCTTCCCCAATAAAAACTTTTAAAATGGGAAGATGGCTCCAAAGTAATTTGCTTACATTAAGGAAAACACAAGAGTGCTTCTTAATGAGGAGCAACTTCAAGCATTCTAGCTACCAGGAACAGTAAGGTGGGTTGGAATTTGAGATGAAGCCTTGATTAAGAGGGACCACATAGAACTGGGGATTGTGGCTGGGAGAGGCCACAATCTGTAGAAAAAGCTCTAGTTGCCAGAGAAAAATTGTTTCCTGGGGAAGGAACTCCTTAATTAAGAGGGAAAGCTGTCCCCCAGAGCCCCCATCCAATGTTCTTATGAAGCTGACAATAGTAAGAACTATTAATATAAGGGAAAGAACAGTACAAGAAATAAGCCCAGTGACACTATCAAAGCTCAAGTGTCAGGCTGAAACAGCAAAAATGGTTTCTTTTAAAAATCTGCAAGCTGTGAGAACTCTGCAACCTTCCATTTTCAGCAATAAAATAGGTCTGAGAAAATCAAATGCCAGAAATATAAATAATTTATGAACTTTATTTTGAGAAATGCGTTAACAAGCTTTCCTTTATAGTCTGATATCTATACAAAATACACAAAGCACCCTCTTGAAAATTAATCAAAGCATAGTTAACATGCAATAAACAATTCACAAAGCCTTGGAAACCAGGAGAAATTGCAGTAGCAGAAAGCTTTCCAACAGTCAAACTAATATTTCATCCTTACTGGAGTACAATTCATTTTCAGAAAGAATTTCAATGTGCCATGTATCAATAGGAAACATAATCCCTTTTATTTTTTGTGCCACTGAAAGAAACAGTATTTAGGCTCATAACATATGCACCAAAGTAGTTTGATGATAACTTCGTACCCAATTTCAATTTCAGCATTTACTATCTTGAAAGGCACCTTTGGTGTTAAGTGATTAAGTCAAAAGAGCTCACTGCTAATCTGAAAAAAGTATTAAGTTTTCAATTAACCTAAATATATAAATGTCCTAAGGTGAATTTCTTAAAACAAGGTTGCTATAAGAACGTGAGGCCTAATCACATTTAATGCAACACATTTATATTGCAGTGAACTGGAAAACGGTAAAAATATCAATCTACAGAATATCAAGTTACATAACATCCCTTACAAATAGAGTATTATAATTCTCAAGTGTGACATGGACTCAATATACTGGAGACTCAAGGAAAACAGTTACAAATGCTAAACCAGTTCTTTGGCTTGAACACTACAGGAAATTATGCTTTGAAGTTATGTTAAGATTTGTAACCTGAACCACATGCTATGTTAATAAAACTAGAGAGGAAACAAGACATTTTTATTCTGGCTTGCCTGACTAGGCTCTCATCAGAAGAACTGGCTGAATACTAAGAGTCTGTTCTTCACTTAATTTGCTTTTAAAAAGGTGATGTCAATCTCAAAACTGATTTCAAACGGAATAAAATCACAAATTTCCCTTTTCAGAAACCTGATACAATGTAAAGGTGAGCAATCAAATGTTGCCAAGGAAAAATATGAGGCATTCAAGGGACTTATAGAGATACTTAAATATAAACAACCTCCTAGGGCTATTAAAGTTAGTTCATTAGTAAGTACTGTTTGTCACTTAGATGTTAATTGTAAAAACTAAATCCTTTTCCATCTGAATAACAACTGTGAGTTTTCATTCTTTCAGCTTATCAGCGGGAAGAACTGGTGAGGATTGGAGTCAGGATACCCAAGTTCAAATCTCAGCTCCAACACTTACAAGCAAGTCATCTGAACCTCTCAGATTTTTTTTTCCCATCTGTAAAATGGACATGGTTCTTAAATGTGCCTGAAAAGGTTATTATGGAAAAAGTGTCAAAGTATAAACCTTAAAGTGCCAAAGAAAATGGTAGTTATTATTTGTTATATTCAAATTTCAATATATTGCTTTAAGGTTCATAAAAATTTTCATCCCAATGTCAGAAAAGTACTTTGCAACCTTTAAAGTACTACCCCAATCAATCGCAACAATCCTGGAAATGGATGCCCAATGTTACCCAGCTATTAAGTCTCAGAGTGAGACTTTGGACCCACATCTTACTCCAAGTCCAGAGCTTTCCCATCACACCAGGCTGCCTCTGGGCCTTTCCACTAACTTAATGAGGTCTTCAATAAATTCATCTGACCATGTGCTATGAAGCCCATATGTGCCTCGGAGTAGAGACTGATGGGACAGGGGTCCCCTCATCACCTATAAACCTAGATGGTGACAGAGCCCCATAAATTGTAGAATTAAGCCAGTGACGTTCGATAATCTGAATTATTTAATGATATAAAAAAGATGATTCAATTGAAAATGTTTCCTATTTGTATAGGAACAAAGGATATAACACTGAAACTTATGATCTGAAAATCATTAATTTTGTCTTTCATTCCAGAAGAGGAATTTCAAAAAGGTTTCTTTTTGTGGCTTGTTTCATTATCTTTGAGTCAACCTTTACTATTCTGTACTGAAATATTTTTATGTTAAGAGAAACCATGGAAAAACAGCAATAGAATACTGGATGGTTCAGGTTCATTTACTATGAGATTCATTATTTTGATTCTAAAAAGCCAACCTTGTCTGCATAAGTCATGTAACTAACTACTTTTTCTGCAGTGTTATGAAACCTAAATTATCTAAATAGGAAGAACAAGACACTTCTACAATTCTAACAGTATTACTTTCAATACTTTAAAATAACACAAGGAAAAACAAAAATGTAGTATTGCTCAACCATCCACATAATAATTGGAAAAATTACTTTCAGTAGTCTTCAAGACTTTGTTTCATACAGTGTTTTTATCTCTGGCAGTCAACAAAACAAAACAAACCAACCTTAAAAACTATTATTCAGGGTTAACTTTAGGTTGGGGAGAGGGGGATGGAAAGAAGCCTTTTTTTTTTTTAAACAAAATCTGCAGAGATGACATCAATGATATTTACCATAAATTTACAGGGTCTTTCTATGTGTACTGAAAAAGTCTCAGAAAAAAATTTAAAAGGCACATCAGCAGAGTCAAGCAAACAGATGAATTCTGAATTCAAAATTAGGGCCCTAAAAGGAAGCAACAGGAGTAAAATTATGTAAATAAAAACTAGGGCTTATACTCAATTTAGATAACATCATTTAAAGGAGTATATAACCTCAAATACAGTAAGTTATGAAAAATTTAGATGAGTTGAACTACTGCCTAGAAATATTTGATCTTGAAAGTTTAAAAAAATATTAGCCAAATATTTACATTTTTTCATTATAGTAAAAATGAACTTGGAGTAACACAGTCACGCATCAATGAATGTTCAAGGTAATTTTTATAAGATTTTTTTCAAATCAGAAGGGCTTTTATAAATACATATATATGTGACAAAAAATGAATCTCAAGTCACAAAAATTAAGGGATGAATGGAAAAACAAACATGAATTGTCAAAGATGACAGATAACTTAATCCTACTCATTTCAGAAGCCTGAAAACTATAACACACAGAACACAATGAATAGGCTTAAGAGTGTTTCGTTCATTTTATTCATCTTCATAATACTACTTTTACTGTGTTGAAGGCTTTAAGTCCAATAATACAAAATAGCATTTCATAGCAAGTTAATTCCAAATGACTTTTTTGTCACTAAGTGTGACTTTTAAGTATTACAAACTTAAATGATGGAGAGAAAAACAAACTAGGGCTAAATTGCAAAAATATATCCTCTACACAAATAGTGCAAAATGTTTTTTTTTAAGTAATGGTTATAAAAACTTTTTAGTCAAGTCACCTGTTCAGTTGCCATATCACATGTAATTTCTGACACGAGATTGTGCCACTAGCACTCTCAACAATGACCTGAAACTAGAGTCCTGTGTTGGTACTAAGCTGATAAATCAAAAATGTAGAATGGTACAATGATTAAAGGGTCATTTAAACAGAATTCACCCTGGGTGGAAGGCAGGTTTGTGCTTTGAAGTTACCCCATTCAGAAGTGCATCTTTTGAAGCAACTACTTTCTTTATTCATCTGCAGTGGTTCCTGGAAATTCAGATTGACTTTAATCAATCAACAGGAATCATATTAGTCCCATAAAGGAAGCTAAGGCAAACACACTCTATAAGGTATGTTTTTAATAGAAGGCATATAAGGTATGACAAAATGCTAAGTGAGGCATGTATGGTCATGATTTTTCTTAAATCTACTGACTATAATAAGCTCAACAGCTTCAACTTTTAAGACTTAATTCATTCAGCTTGTAAAAAAATATATACACACGCACACTTAGGATCATGTGCATGCAAATCTACAAGTACTAACTTTCAAACATTACAAATATTAAACTTCCATTTGCAGTGCAAGGTATCCCACAGGTTTAACAAAAGTGACCAGGGTGTGCCTGACAGGGAAGAATTCAGGCCAAAGGGCAAATTTTTGCCTTTTTTAGGGATCAAGTTCCAATTAATTCTGTAAATCATTATGAAACCTAGATTCAAATTCACTTAAACTGCCTAATTAGCTTGTAAAAACATTTCCACCTTCAGAGTAAGTGATCTTGGTACCAGGAAGTAAAAAGGGGAAGGGGACTGGATATCAAGAGTATAACATTCCATCAAAAAAGAATATATAAACAAAGAGTGAAAGCATATATTAAATTTAAAATAAAGCCAGTGGCAGGGCAGTCGTCAGAGTTTCAGAAAATTTTGACTAGTAGTAACTACAGCCCAGTTTGTGAGCAGTCAACAATTCACAGGTCATGAGACCCTTTCAGAAAGTTGTATTGCAATGTGCAATCTAAGAGTTTTAATAAATATATACACTTATTACACAGGCTGCATATGCACACATCTACAGAGACACAAAAGTATGTACACACACAAAATCCACTTTCCTCTAGGTCTTGCTCCTAGAATTGGGCTACTTAGCTTCACTTGGGACATGAGAGATTTACAGTTACTTTTACCAACTCTGAAAGCTCCCAAAACATCTATAAATAAAATGCCTGTGGTGAGCTTGGTTTTTCAAAAAATCATGGATACTGAAAAAATCCAAAGAACTTTTGTCAGGAGAAACAAAAGAAATAATTTAAAAAATCAGAGCCTCTCAACTGCACCAACCAGGTCGCGGGCTGCAGATCCGTCAAGAACATGCCATACACCGTCAGACTTTCACCGGTTCTCAGGAATCTGAATCAACACCTGAACGCTTCCAGGTTGGCAAAGTTTGTTTCCCAGGATTGACGTGTGCTGTGAAACTTCAAAGTGATCCCGAACTTAAATGAGAGGTGCTCCAAAACATTTCCTGCACCACTCCACACTGAGACTTGGGGGAGCATCAATTGTCTCCATCTTTCCTAGAACCTCTGAGGACAGACTCTTATATGCAAGTTCATATTCGTTGTCAAAAGCCTCTGAAAGACATTTTTTAAAAAGTTAGGCAACATTAGTAAAGAAAATATTTAAATTGTTTTAAGCAGAACTATAGCACATTTGGAGTATTGGGCAAAAAAGTTAATATTGCAAAACTATCTTTTGGACATATTAGTCAAATTTAACTCCCTTGTTCAAAATAAATGCCATGACTGCTCAATTATACCAACTTACCAATATCAATATTTTCTCTTCCAAGAGACACCAATGACAAGAAGAGGATTTCTCTGTATAAACTCCTGTGAAGAAATAAGAATGTATGCAGATAATGAGAGTTAGCAGGCTTACTCAGCTTGCTGCACACACCGTAGGCAGATGGTAAATTACCTGGGACTTCTGCATGTCCATATGCTCATTCCTCTCTATCAAACACCCTGCTCTGGGACAGAGGGAGCACCCACAGGGCAGGAGGAAAAGGCTAGAAGAATAGGGGTGGTAGGGCGAGGGACATCCCCGCCCCCACACCAAACCTTGTCTACCGTTAGAAGCCATTAGGAAGGAGTTAGGCAACAAAGGAAAAGGGGATTTTCAATGACCATTTTCGATTTCCTTTACAAATAAACTTCTAAAATTAAATTTATTCCCTCAAAATATGTACTTTTCTACAGTACTTGAAGGATATGTATGCACACAACTTAGACAATACTTTAAGATATATCAGAAAATTATCCTAAGAGTACTGAGTTAGAGAACAAAGTCTCATTACCTTTGTCGTTTTACATCTGGCTTCACTTTTTGCAAAAGAAGGTTGATAGGTTTAAGAACATCATTATGTTGAATGCTCTGCCTGATGTTCTCTACTAAAGTGCTTGTGGCCTGCTGGTCTTCTGTTACTAAGGATGATTTCTTCTCCGAGTCTGGGAAAGGGAATACAGAGGATAAGCATCATTTAGAAATGTGATCCCAAGAATTTTCTCCAAACTTGTTTTTTCTCTCCAATTTGGGGTCATATTATATCCCTTGTCTAACTATACTAACCCCACTCTGATAACACCCTTAATACTTATGCAAATAGCTTGTACTATATCCAAGCACTTCTTAAGATACTGCTCTAAAAATAGTTCTCTAGTTAGTCTCAATGTGTTAACTCTCCCCAAAAAGATGATAAACTCAAAAAGGGTGGGGAGGGGCCTATATCTATTCTTTAAAATGCTGCATGGCCCTCTTCTTGAAAACAAATAAAAAAACAAACCTAGTACAGTAAAATTCATATAACATTCAACAAATGCTAATTAAACACTCAACATTTATCTAATCCCTCTTAGAATAAGGTCATTTCAGAGGACTTTATTTAAAGCTAAAAAATCTTTTCATTCTTGAGAACCTTTACTACTCTCTATTTTAAAAAACTTAAGCAAAATATAATTGTTTTCTTCAAAAATAATTTATGAAATCAAGAAAAAAACATTCATGGAGGAGTGTCAAAGTAAAAAAGACTTTTAACATATGTTCTATGACTGGGAATAGTTAAAAGCTCCCTCAAAAATATTTTATGGATGTTTTTCTCCTCCCCATATCTGTTCTTACAAGAACAATCTTTTTTTCAAATCCTCTCATCTCCAGGAACAAGAATTTACATGATTTGGTCTAAATAAATCCCTCTCATGTCACTGAAAACTCTCCACTACTACAAAAGCAGAGAGTTTCAAATCTTGATAGCATACTAAAGTTTGGAGGTATGACACTCATACTTTACCAAGTTGATCAATTTCAAGGGCAAGAGTTTTTCATGAAAGGTAGGGAGGTATACTGGAAAGAATGCTTATTTGGAGTCAGAAAACCTAGGTCTACTAATTACTAGCTTGATGGCAGTGGCAAACAAAGTTGTGTATTTTCTACATGTGAAGATTGGGAAGAATACTTGCATTACTACCCCACAAGTGTTGATGGCATAATGTCAATGAATCCTCACATACAAAATGTTTTTATGACTACTGAACTTTCAGCTACTTTCATTATATTTTGATGTTTCAAGAACATGTCACTTAACTGTTCTCTCCTAAGATAGAATGCAAGACCTCATTCCCAAGTAGCTGGTTTCACGAGTAACTCAAGTTAAGAAGCATTTATTCACTATCTACTATATGTCAGGTAGTGTGTTAAGTATTGGGAATACAAAGAAAGGCAAAAAGCAATTCCCTGCTCTCAACAAGCTCACAGTCTAATGGGAAACAACATGCAAACAACTATGTATAAGTAAGCTATAAAGAGGATAAATTGGAGATAGTTTTAAAGGGAAGGTACTAGCATTAAGGAAGTCTGGGAGAGGCTTTTTGCAGAACTTGATGGCCAATCTACTAGCAACAAGCTTCTCTAACCTGGCTATGGCAGTACTCAGACAACAAATATAAAATACAATTAATGCCTGGTCTATCCTTCCATCTTGCTGACACCTGCTGCACCTTGTGCTTTATTGGTGTAGCCTTGGAGAATACAAGCCACCCCCCACTTGGTACTAAGGTAGGACTTTAGTAGAGGAATATTATAATGAGAAGACTCAAAACTAATAGCTTTGTAACAGAAATTAGGATTCAAATACCACTAAAGTGAATTTGACCACAGTGCTAATTCTATACAAACAACGACTTCTCCACAAATAAACCAGAACAAAAAGGGCCAAACTGGAAGGACATCAAGCTCATCCACTTGAGATCTTCAACTATTCTGAGGCTTGATGTGCAGTTTAAAGTTTCTGCATAATGGCTGATTTAAGTTGAATAACTAAAAATGTCAAATTAGTCCTGAAATAGATATACAAAAAGAACTAAACTGGAAACAGTGACGCTTCTTTTCTTCTAGAAGACTGATCTACTTACTGAGGTTCCTCCAAGAAACATACAAGGGCTCTCCAGGTTCTTGATGAAGGTTGATATTGTCCCATAATAGCTGAATATATACTAGTTTACTGTCTTGGGACAGAGATGAAAGAGGAAGCTAAAAACAAATTAAAAGGAAGTATTAGCCACACCATGAGAACAGCAAAGTTCAACAATAATTCAATGCAACTAAAAATTTATTAACTGGAGAAGAGTTCACAAGATAAAAACCTGGGACTAACAAAATACAGGCTCACTGAGCTTGGATCCAAACTTCTGATGCTAACCCTTTCCACTACACCATGCTTTTTCTTTGGAAGGGGAATACAACACATTAGGACGAAGAGGCTGAAAGGAGAAATCTCTCAGTATGATAGACTTTAGATGCGAACAAAATGCTGACTTCCGTAAGTTATGAATGGTAGAAAATACAAATTTGTGCTGAACTTTACTTATCACACTACTTAGATCTTATTTATGATAACTTTTTTAAAAAGAGGAAGACTAACTGCTAAAATGTCTCTTCATTTTCTAATGTTCTGATTTGTTTCTATGACTTTTTAAAAACATTGAGAAATTACTGTGGTGTGGCACAGAGTTCCTATTCAAGACAGAGAGAGGTCACATTTTACTATGGTGAGCTCAAGATATTCCAATTTTGTTGTATTTCTGGATAATTTTGTTATAGTTATTGTTTGAAGTAAGTAGGCTATTAGGCTGCTTTAAGAGAGAAACAGTAACCAGGACTAGGGAAGTGACAATGCCACTTATTCCACTTAGTTCTGGCTGCCATATTTTAGAAATGGGTATTGTAGAACTGGAGTGTCCTGGGAGGGTGACCAGGACGGTGAAGGGCTTCTAGATCAGAGGTGTCAAATACTATGTGCTAAGCACCAGAGATGCAAAAAGAAGCAGATGACAGTCCTTGTGCTCAAGGAGTTCCCAATCTAATGGGGGAGACAATAACAAACATATACAATCAAGCTACATATAGGATAAATGGGAATTAATAACAGAAGGAAGGCACTACAATTAAGAGGGGTTGGGAAAGGCTTCCTGTAGGAGATGGGATTTTAGTTGGGACTTAAGGGAAGCCAAGGAAGACAGGAAGCAGAGATGAGGAGGGAGAGTATTCGGGCATGGGGGACAGCCAGAGAAACTATCTGGAGCCGTGAGATGGAGTATCTTGTTTGTAGAACAGTCAGGAGGAGATCAGTCTCACTGGATCAAAGATTTATGTGGCTGGAAATGAGCTATAAGAAGATTTGAAAGATAGGAGGTGGCCAGATTATGAAGGGCTTTGGATGCCATTTTGAGCATTTCATGTTTGATCTCGGAGGCGATGGAGTTTACTGAGTAGACACAGTAGGACCTGCACTTTAGGAAGGTTGACTGGTGGTAGTGAGGGCCCAGTTCAGGTTGTATAACAGAACTTTACAGTGGATCCAGTCAGAACAGATGGGTGATTTTCTCATCTTTGTTCAGAAGCACACGTGTAGAAGCAAAGACAACAAATGGTAGGAGCAATCCAAATTTGAGGCTTGGCAGGGTGTAATAATAAAGAGAGCGAGGACTTGAGAGGCAGACAGTGTAGCACCGAACTGCTTTACCAAGAGGCCAAGAGGGGAAAGAGGAGAGAGTGGCTAGTGTAGGGGAGATGGTCATAGGTTGCCTAAAGAATGGGATTTGGCAAGCAAAGACAGAAGGAGAGGTGAAAAGCCAATAGATTAATGGTCACATTAGAGGATTTCAGAATTCCTAAATGGGGGAGGGGGTGCATTTAGGGGAGATCACAAGATCAACAGTATAACTATCTTTGTATATGGCTGAGGAGGGGTGAAGGAAAGGGAAGTGGGAAGTGAGTAAGTTGAGGAATTTAGTGTTAAGGTGTTTTTGAGGGAGAATCAATATGTATATTGAAGTCTCCAAGTATGACGGTAGGAGTTGGTACATGGCTCACAATTTTTCTCATTTGTGTCTTCTTTGCATGCTGTATTTTAAAAAAACTTTTCTTGTATTTCTGTTGTCAGAGGCATTGCAAAGCAATCTGTTCATGTCTGGTGTTATCTGTGGGAATATTTCAAATGCTTCTCTTTTATTGAAAAGCCATCTTTTTTCACTGGTGAGTAGGTCAAGTCTGCAGGATATGTCACCTCAGGTTGCATCTTTAGCTCCTGTGTTCTTCATAACATATAACTCCATTTTCTTCTGTAATTTCTGGTGGATGCAGAACAGACTAGTGCCATTTGAAACTTTTTTCCTATATATTTGAAGATCTTTCTCCTGGTGCCTTGTAGAATTTGTTCATCAGTAGAATCATGACATTTAACCACTGTATATCTTGGAAATATTTTTCTGGAGATCTGTGGATCCTTTCAATTGATACTCCCACCCCCACCCCCTGCATTCAGAAGTTCTGGGCAGTTTTCTTGTATTTTTTCTTCCATTACGGTGTTCAGATTTTTTAACTTGTATTCTTCTGGCAGACTTATAATCCTTAAGTTGTTTCTAACCATCCTTTCTTTATGATGAATGTTTTGCTTGTATAAAGATCATGTTTTCTTTTAATATTACTTCACTGATATGTATTTCCATTTCTTATCAACTGCTGTCTCTTCTGTTTCTTTGGAGAGATTTACCACCATGGATTTAAATTTCTTCTATCTTGCCAATTATTTCTTCTGTGTAGGCCATTAATTCTGTTTTCTTGATTCTTTTTTGTCTCTTGAACCATTTAGGAATATTTTCCGGAGTTTCATTCTTTCTTGGGAATCCACAGAGTCCTTGACCTCATAAGGTATTGATGCATTTTCTTTTATCTTGCAATATTCATTCACAGATATCTGGACTTGTTTAGGTCTCCTAGAAGGCATTTTCCCTTCTGTTAATTAATAATTTGCCTTTGGTTTATCTGCTCAAGGTTTTTAACTGAGTTGTCTTCCTTCTGATATCTTTGTTAAGTCCAGTCTTTTTTCTTTATATTGCCCTAACACTCACTTTCTGACTCCTTCCCCTTTGATGGTGGATCCCTTGAGGACTGGAATTCAAAGCTGTCTCAGCCTCCACCCACGATGGGGAATTCACTTTTCACCAGGCTCAGTCTCTGACCCAAGTGATTTCTAGAGAAACAGAAATGGCTTCAGTTTTATGCACTCCCCCTTTCTTCAGACTTGGTGGAGCTCCACACGTGCTGGCACCTTGCCCCACCGTCCCTCTATTCCTGAGTTTTCTGACTAAGCACTGCTCAGGACAGCCGGTATACAAGGCAGAGTAAGCTGCTGCTTTCCTGTACTTCCACCTCTTCCACACAGGGTGAGGTTGGAAAAGGACAGGTAGAGTGAGTTTTATTGCTTGTTACCTCAGAATGGCAAAGGAATTGCTGACTCAAAGATTTCTGGACACAAACCTACTGGTATCACAGCATAGCCAGGGGTACTAAGTGAGCACACCAAGAATAAGTTTTTCTGCTCTTATCTCATCAGGTTGTTACCTCATTAAGAAGTTTGGCACCTTAGACAGTAGAGCCAGTTGTAACTGCTTTACCTTTTGGATGTAAATCTTATTCTGGAGAGGTTTGAGGGGATTGTGAGTTGTGAGGATCTAGTCCTCTATTTCGTGTGGTCATGTCACCCTGAAATCTACACAGAGACATTCTTGTAAAACTGGAGCATATGCTGAGGAGTTGAGCAGAGAAGGTCCCTTCTATGATAGAAAATAACTTCAATACCATGCCAAGGGAAGCCCAGATACTTCCTATCTTCAATAGGCACCAGGACTCTAGTATTCTTTAGGAGACAAGTGTAGCTGATTATTTCCTGTTCCCAAAAAATATTCTTAGGGTGTCATCAAAAGCCAGTAAATACTTCTTACTTGATTACTTAAAATCAATTCATTTTATCAGCTAGTTTCAACAAAAATCCAATTTGATATAACCTGGAAATTACTTATGGAATGATACTGGAAAGAGCAATAAAAATAAACTATACACACATTCATTCTGCAATTATAAACCGCTCCTTCAAAGCTATATAAATATTGTTTTACTGGGCCACAATATAATTATCCTGTAATATTTGTACTACCTAAGTATCTCATTGATTCCCTTAGGTTTTCTTAATTGTTGACTCTTTTAATATAGGCTGATGGAACAAATTAGCACCTACCTGTACTCCTTTATTACAATGTTCAGATGTGAGGATAAGTCCTGGCAAATTGCTAGGAAGGTCCAAACGTCTGAAATACCAAACCAGATTCCAGAAAATGATTGGATGTTGATTGATAAATGAAGATGTGTGAATAACTTGATCTCCTTCATTTTCCAACAGAGATTCAAGTTCTTTACGAAGCACTAATGGACTCAAGTAGGGCACAGAAACAGGAGAGGGGTTGGGTCTCTTCCTTAAAGGATCCTTTCAGTGAAAGGGGAAAAAAGCCAAACAGAAAACTTTATGTCTTTATCTTACACTTTTTATTGATGGAAACTCAATTATACACTATATTCTTATGCCATAATGTAATGTCTATTTCAGACGTTATTGATACAATGATGAAAATTTCAACAAAAATACGTATGATTTGCGCAAACTAAGTGTTGAAACTTTTATAAATATATTTTAAGCTGTATTCACCAAACTTCCTATTTTTTTTGAACAATGAACTTATCAAATGCATTACAAGAAAGGAGAAAAATAAGGATTACATATGAACGTATGCATATGTTACAAAAAGTTTGTTTTTTAAAAGTTTGGGGCAGCTAGGTGGTACAGTGGATAGAGTACCGGCCCTGAAGTCAGGAGGACCTGAGTCCAAATCTGGCCTCAGACCAAACACTTGACACTTACTAGCTGTGTGACCCTGGGTAAGTCATTTAACCCCAATTGCCTTTTAAAAATATATTTTTTTTAAATAAAATAAAATTTGTTAAATTTGACAAAGACTAATTTGCCACATTGGTGACTCCATCTGAACTATTTGTTTACTCTTGTGTATTTTTGTTTTACTGATACTCTTTTCCTTCCTTTCTTTCAACAAAATCTCTAACACTGTCGAATTTTTTATAATAGGGACTTTTTAAACCTTTTTTTACCTCTTTCCACCAGCTAGCAAGTGCTAAGTGCCTAAGGCTAGATTTGAACTCAAGCCCTCTTGACTCCACGGCCAGCACTCTATCCACCGCACCACCTCGCTGCCCCATCAGAATAATTTTTAAAAAAAAATAACTAAAGGAAATGCTAAATTTCAGTTAGTGGGAAAAGATGTAAATTTTTTTCTCAACCAAGTTAACAAACTCTTTGAAACTGCAGATCCTTGGTTAAGAACCCTAGTTTCAGAATAAGATATTTCTCCATCAAGTTATTTAGGAATCACAGCAGAGAGAGGTTTGTCCTTTTTTAATATTTATAAATTTTAAAGTTTTTGCAAAATGCTTGCATTTTGAGATGCTTCAGTTACTCTTAAAAATAAGTGGTAGTTCAAAGCAGAGTTTAATTCAATTCATATAGCTCAAGGTAGGTTGTAACATAAACTCTTGCTATTCCATAATTATACCTTACTCCTCTCATGTCATTTGATTTACACTTAATAAAAATTTTATAAAATAAAAAGCTGATATGTTCAGGAGTATGATATGTAAAAACTGGAACTAAACTAATTTTTGGACCAAAAGTCAGAAAAATGGAAGAAAACATTTTCATAGAAAAACTAAAAAATATTTATTGAAGCTTTCTCCTCTAAACTCAATACATAAAATTCTCAAATTCACACTTTTCAGCAATACAAAGTATAAATAAATAGACAGATATTCCAGTTTCTGACAGAGAGGGCCCAAGTGGCAGAATTCATAAAAGTGACTGAAATCAAAGTCTTATCAACAAATGAGCTAATGTTTTCTAAAGAAGTGTTCAAACACCTTATGCAAAATTATGCTATGCTTTACTATACAAATACATAATAAGACTATAATATTTACTGTTACTTACCACAACTTCCTGTAAACTGTTCGGCAAACTAACTGTTGAAATGCCATGGAAAGGTCGCTGAGAAAAATCAATATTTTGCAAAGGGCCTCCAACACTGTGGCTTCGAGTCAAAGATACTCCTCGACTTGAAAAATTATTAGCTACAGATGACGTTTTCACACTTGGGAAGTTTCCATTCTCTTCCTTTAGCTCAACACTTTAAAAGAAAAAAATGCTCAAATAAAACTCTACTTTCTTTTATTATTACACTGTTTAAAAAACAAACATTTCTTCCTTTGAAACTACCATATTTGCAATAATGGCAAAGGAAATTACAGCCACATCAAAAAACTAAGCTGGACTAGTACTAGAAATGTAGAGATGGTTTAATATCAGGAAAACAATAAACGTCTATCTAAAACCAAATGCTAACATCACTTGTAATGGATGAACACTGTTAAGTTTGGATTTTCCTACAGAAATTTTTATCTCTTGTTTGCACTGAAATTAATAAAAGCTTGTGATGAACAACTAACAGATTCATTTAAAGACCTAATATAAAACAAAGTTTGTCCAACTATTTTTTGAATACAATTTCAACTACAAATCCAATCACCCGAAAACTATTTAAACTTAATTATCTACTTTCTTCTTTTGAACTTCAGATGCTACCTTGTTGCACTCACTCCTGATGCTTCCTGGAGATATTTAGCTTCATTTGCTACTTTTTAGTTGTTTTTATTGCCTTTTATTGTATCTTCAGCTGCCTCGCTCTGTGGTTTTTTCATTGAATTAGTATCTTTCTAGCAGTAATTTTTCTATTGGTATCTGTTACTTTAGCTGTACTTTTATCTTTATAACAACTTCTAGAATTATAGTTCATTTTCTATTCTTGTACCTATATTGTAGTTATAAAGATATACTCATTTGTTTCCTATATTTCTACCTTATTATAGAGAAATTCCTAGATTTTTAAAAGCTGCATTTGTAGCTTCCTATTTTAAAGAGTTTATTGACAAATTTTGTTTAGACAATTAATACAAAACTCTATGTTTCTAATTACATTTGTCATAATGTATGATCCCTAGAGAGTTAAATAAAACAATATACAAAAGTCACTAAAACTGATGGTACCACATAACATAACATTTTGTGAACAATGTAAACATTACAGTTTACAATCATTATATTCCCTTCTCAAAAACTCTTTTTTAAAAATCTTGTCAGAACAGGACGGTATATCTGATAGTTGAAGCCTCAACTCCAGCGCCCCCTTTTTATGTCATCTTTCCTGATGACCCTAGCTGCTAGGCCATCCTCCCTTCTAAAACCACCTCGTGTTTCTCTTGTTTATATTCTGTATCAACTTGTATGTGTACAGGTTGTCTCCCCAACTAGAATGTATGCTCTGAAGACAGGGGCTTTGCATAGTACCTGCTGATTAAACAAGTTAATTGGTTCTATTGTATTATGCTTATAGTTACATTATTTTAAGCTTACTTAATAAAGATACCTAAAAACAATACATAAACTCTGAAAAGACTGTATATGTATTATGACACTGCTGAGGACTTTATAAGAAGAGATTAATAATAACACATTACAGTTGCCATCATGACCTACCAGCAAATTCATTTATTGACTACTTAAACAAAATTTGGCACATATACAAATGAAGATTAAAAAGACACATCATGTTCAGGCCGAAGATAGCATGGAGTACTATACAAGTCCTGTTTCTGTCACTTACGAGATGTGTCACTCTGGGAAGTGCTCTGAGCCTCAAGTTTCCTGATCTGTAAAATGAGAGCCACTGGCGTGGCTGACCCCTAACATCCCTTCTAGCTCTGACATTCTGTGATGCTATGAAATCTAATTAAGTTTGACTGAAATTATAGAAAGCAAAGAAGCTTACAACCAGAGCTAAAACAGGTAAACTACTCCAACTCCTCAGATTAAATTTTTCAAAGGGCATTCAGCTTATAATGAGAATTTTATGCAAACTAGGATACCTTGGTTCAGCTGAAGAACTTATTCCTTCTGATACGACCTGGCTGTGCTTTGGGAAGTCCATAAAGGTCATCAAGTCAGTCTCTGCCGGACTAGACACAGGTTTGTGCTCGGGAGGATCCGTTACTAAGGAAATGCTTCCGCTTTGTAAACTGTCACCAGAGGTGCTTGGCTTCAGAAGAAAGCTAAATGGGGCAGGCAAGTGAGAAAAAGTTAAAACATCAAATGTTACATCTGTAGAATCATTTTCATCACCAAGTAGACTCTGCAATGGTGTGCAATTACCACTAAAAAACAAACAAAAAACCACTGCTCTTACTGGAAGGAAAAGAAAGGAAAGCTATGAAAAAACTAAGAAAGAAGGCAAATTCTAGCCAATACCCTCCATGATTTCTTACACTGAAAGAAAACACATTCTTCAGCTGACTAGCATCAGAAAGGACCACATAAATAGATTTTAAAATGTCTGTAGGCATTTTATAGAGTCAAGATCACTTAGATTTTTAAAGTTTTTCAAATAAGATGTGGCTCCTGATTCCATTAGGCTAAATGCTAATGCATTTAATTAATTTAAATTACTTTAATTAATGTGTCTAAACCCAGAATCACAGTGCCCAAAGCTGTAGGCACTGCTTTGCTAACAGTTCTCTTCACTGCCTTTGGCAGGTCTGGCTTGAAACTAGCTTTCAGGACTGTTCAACTCAATCTAGAGCAAAGGTGGATGGGGGAAGGGAGAGGAAACAGAAGCAAACTTCAGAGATTATAGGTGTGTATGTGTGTGTACATGTATGCATATACATGACTGTTCTAGCTGCTAAAATCTACACAGAGGTATAAAGAAAGCCCTGTGAGGTTGCTGATGACACCACCCACCCAGACCTCATACAGTGCTGGATAATTTGTATTACAGTTCTTATGTGTTATCCCTACTAGACTGTAAGCATCCCAACAGCAAAGGTCACATCCTATTTGATGTATATTTTCCCCAGCACCCCTCACTCCCAATACTCTGGCATTTAATATATCTTTGCCAAACTTGATGTAGGCATCAAGGCAGATGCCCATCACCACCAGGCCTTACTCTTGGCCAGCTATTTTCAAATCCAACAATGACAGAGAGAATGCTAGATTTGGAGTCAGAGCATCTGCATTCAATCCCAGCTCTATTTACTTCCTGTGTAACTCTTGCTAAGTCACAAAATCCATAAGCCTTAGTTTGCATAGCTTTAAAATCAGGGGATTGGAACAGATTTTCTAGCTCACACTCATTTTGCACTTTTTTGCTGCCATACAATGCCTTCAGAAAACTCAGTGGGAAAGTCTGCCTTACAAGATCCAATCAGATTTGCACTGTCACCTCATCAGTGCCCTCTGCCCCAAACACTTCCATCTAAGCAGAGAGGACACAACAGACGCCTCCTCTGATGTCTTCTCATTTCCCACTCAGCCATACTGACTGTGGACTTCTGTGACCTCTCCACCATGCCCCAGTTTAGGTCTCCATTCCCACCCCCACTTCCACTTTTCAGCTTTCTTTCTCACTATCTCCCTTCCTTAGATTGTAAGCTCCTTAAAAGCAGAGAGGGGGTGTCTTTTTTGTATTTGTAACCCCTGAACTTAGCATAGTACTTGGCACACAGTAGATACTTAATGTTTATTGACCGAGTTGAAGACAAAGGTACTTTCTAGTTCTCATTAGTTCCTAAAGGTTCTACCTCTATGCAGATGTTCCCCAATCTATATACCAAGGCCAAGTCTTTCTCCTGAATGCCAGTCCTCCATCATCAACTGTCAGAAGGACATCTGAAAGTCCTAAAAGCATCTCAAATTCAATCTGTTCAAGACAGAATTTATTTTCTCACATAAGCCTGCTTCTCTGCCAAACCATCCCATGTCTGTTGAAGAAACTACCATCTCTCCAATCACTCAGGTTCAAAACCACCACTTCCCTCTCCTTCCCTTGCCATATCTAATTGATTGCCATGTCTTGCCAATTCTACCTCCACCCCATCTCTAATATTCATCCTCTTTTTTCCCACTCCCAGAGCCACAACCCTAGGTCAGGCCCTCATCCCCACTGGACTAGCACTGGGTTGTTTGCCTTTCTACGTATCCAGAGCCTAATGGACTGACCTCAGAGAGAAAACATCTGAGTTCAAGTGCTACTTCTGACAGTGGCTGTGTGATTCTTGGAGAGTGCTTTAGCTTCCCAATGTCACAGGCAACTCTAAAACTAGAAGTTACAAAGCAGGGACTAATCTACACTAGACCAGCAAAATTTCAGGTGTGGTATGAAAAAAAAAATCCCCAGCACCTTCCATACAACAGAAGCTTAATAAATGTTGCTGAATTTCAGAGTTGAAAGAGACCTTAAATGTCATCTAGCACAACCAATACTTGAACAAGAATATCTTCAACCACATACCTAAACGGATGAATTTATCTGGCTTATCATAAGGATCATACCACAAAGCAGCAGGCATCATCAAGGCAACAAGGTTTAAAATTCTTATGAGATTGAGTATGGGTGCACTGAGGTGGGTTGAGGTGTGCTGGTGAATGCTTAACAACTGGCTCATGAGGGAAAAATGCATACACAACATACTTTTTAAATTTAATCTGCATTTTTAACATTTTCTACATCATTTTCTTAAGTTTAGACAATCAAGCAAATAATAAATCAAGCCTTAATTTGTAGGCATTTCCAAGGTATAAATGCTCAGACTGAAAATATAACAATCTGCTCAAGAGAGATCAGTTTATGCTGGCTTCTGCATAGTCCGGGGTAGAAGGCAACCTCCAGGAATGAGGGATGAAAACCAGCTGAGTGTCAATAAAAATGAAAACCCACTTAATGCCTACAGTAATATATTGCTTACACGTTTACTTCTCATCATGAGGAAGAAGACAAAGTTATGGATAATTTTGTTAAAGACTTACACATTCACTTCCCTTTCTGCTATTTGTCTTTCTTTTTCTGGTGCCTGTACCAGCTATTAACACAGGGTGGGTAGAGGCAGGAAGTTCAAGCTAATCAATGTTTCTATACGCTAACTTTAATTAATATTTGGGGGGCAGAAGTGTCTCAAACTAATTCCCAGAATGAGGTTTTTTTTTTGTTATATCCAGATTTAAAATATTTGAGCTATTACCACAGAGGAAATGGCTATAAGTTTAAAAGCCTTACCTGCCTGAGGCACAAGAGAGGAGAAATACTGAAAATATTTCAACTCTTCCCACACATCCTCATGGGGCACTCACTTAAGAGGAGCCTTCCATTTCCACCATCCTTTTAGAGATGTACTAACCTTGTAGAGCCTCGTAAATCTTTAAACTCCACATTAAGGAGGGGTAAGAAGTTGCTTTTACAGAAAGGACAGGTGGTATTCAAATTTGAATCATCTGCAGCCCATCCAGCCATAATTTCTTCATCATAAACCAAAGCACCACAAGCTCTACATTGAGAACAACTCGACATCAAGACCTGAAAGCAGAAAAGTACAAAATTTTGAAGAGCCTTATAAAACAATGTTTTAATGTTTTAGTGAAATTGAAGATTTAAAAAGTAATAACTCCACTAAAGATATTTTTTTTTCAGAATTTAATGAATGAAATTGGAGTTCAACTGATTACTTTCTTCCATAAAAGAGGAATGTGTGGTTAGATCAATTAAGTTGTATGGAGGTAAAATACCATTTGTAGTTTAAATATGTGCCACTGATTCACTATTCTAATAAAGACATACTTGTTTTTAGACAGGTCAAGAATTTCAGAAGATAAAAGATGACACATCATCAGTAATTAGATCTTTTAAATAGGTCACTCTCCTCAGATGAACACTGAGTTTTAGTTATTCTGTTCCCAAATTTCCAAGGAGGACTTGTGTTATTTTGAAAGTAATTTTTACCTACACAAAATTAATTTAGTTTTGATTACATGTGCTTGATTTAATTTTCAGTCAACTCAAATGAGTCATATACATTTAAAATACTAATTATTTTGTAAAAGATGTCATTTTGCAAAGGTAGTGAGAGTTAACCTCATATTACTGGAGTATTAACTTTATATAATTTCTACCAAACTTTCCATCTTACCTTTCTTAATCATTGATGAAAAACAACTGAACTAAAAAAAAATCCTGAGTTTTCCATAAGTTCCTAACAGAAAATCACTATCAAGTTTAGAATTTCAACAAGTTGTTAATAAAGCTTACCTCAAACCCCTACTCACATTATCTGTTTCACAAATTAAGCAGCACGTACCTATTATCAATCTTAAAGTAGGACATCTTAAGCATGTCTTCATTCAATTTTGATTACTTGTAAAATATGAATTTTACTTTTATAAATGAAGGGCTACAAAACAGTTTTATTGGCAGAATGCAATTTGTTTTTACCTCCATTGCACAGTTTTGGTAGATGCTGGACATGCTGGTATTCTGAGAAGATCCATGCTCTGACTTTTCAAAGTCTTGACCCTTTATGCCTCTTGCAAATGGGATTTCACCTGCAAAGACACAGTCATTAATACTGAACAAAACCATAGGAGAAGACAATTAAATTGCAAAATCCATAAATATAAATAAATCATAGTCATGGACATTAAAAGAGCTTTTCTAAAATTCAAATAGGAAATTACGTTAGAGACCCTATTCAAAATCCCATTTTGTTCTTGAATTTCTGAAAATACATATATATGTATATTTTCACTTCAAATAAATTAAATGGGGTGGTAAGATATTCCAATGTATCAGGGAATTTATCCAACTAAATATATTTTATGACAACTATACTTCTTATTTCAAGGATCTATTATTTAAGGATTCTATTTTGGTGGATATTCCTTCCACCAATCTAAATCACAATACTGCCAACCTACACAGCACTTCTCTCAATTTATTCTTTATAAACTGATTATGCTGGAGGATGAGGTAGATTATCCCTTGTCTGTTCCTCTCATAATAACACTCCCTAAACTTAGCTAGGCTGGTCCTTGGATAACAAATATAGTCAATTTCTGGGACTATATTCAATCAGTAGATAATTATGGAAGCCAATTATACATTGGGCACTCTGTTAGGTGCTGGGGAAATAAAGACAAAATAAACCAGTCTCCATATATACACTCAGTCTTCCTATCTTTGTAAGCCCTGCCAGGGCTTGCACTGTATTGGCAGAACATTAAAAAACCCAGTGTGTGCACCTCTATACCATGAGGTCAGAAGACTACTGTATGGTGGATTTTACCACATTGGGGAGAATAGCACCTTATACTAAATACCAATGACACATGAAAAGAAAGGTAAATCCTCCATACCTGTTGGATAGTGCAATTTTCCTACATCCCCACTGCTGCTGCTACTGCCAAGACTCGTGTTGCTCTGTGTGAGTTCACTGGTGACGAGCCCTGGGACACACGCTTTGGATGTTAGGTCATCTCCCAAAATGTGGTCTTCTAAACCAGCGGGAAAGCTATAATCTCTACTGGGTTCTTCCTTCAATTAAAACAAACAAAACAAACACACAGATATAGGTAAACACACTACCCCAAATGGCATTTCTTTTAGCCTTTCCAAATCCATATACAGCTGTCTTATCATTAGTCACCAAAACTCAAATTTGTCAAAACCACAAACTTTTCACTGTTATGTGTGAAACTTTTCCCTTTGTGCTGAGATACCAAGAGAAAAATTTGTTTTATGCCACCACTTTCCCTTCAAAGCTGCCATAGTTGATAAATTATTATAACGTGAACTTTACATCTCTATTCCCTATCTTAGTGAAATTGAAGGCTTCGCTCCCTGTCCCATGCCTATCCTTATTTTCTTGAAAAGTCTTTCTCTGATGTTCATCCTTCACAATGAAATTTCTTTCTCTTCCTGTTAATTGTCCAGTTTGAGTATTTTTTAAAATACGAATTTTAAAAGAATACTGGCTGCCAATCTTGTAGCATTTCTATTAAAATCGCTGACTTTGATGACTGTAAAAAAAAATCCTAAGCTTGATGACTACAATTAACAATACAAAGGGGAAGCTAGGTGGCACAGTGATTAGAGGAATGGCCCTGGAGTCAGGAGGACCCTAGTTCAAATCTGGCCTCTCACACTAATTAGCTGTGTGACCTTGGGCAAGCCACTTAACCCCAATTGCCTCCCCCAAAACGTACAGAACTTTACAGAGTAATTTCCAAAGCATGAGAAAGAATAGTTTGGTACAGCTGAACAAGTTGCAGAGCAGAATACCAAAGGTCTAGGTTTAAATCTCAGCTTAGTCACCTAAGGTAACTATGTTATGTTAGGCATATAACCGTTCTGAGCCTCAGTTTTCTCATCTGTCAAATGGGGATCCTACTTGCCCTGACATCAGAGTTGTTATGATGATCAAATAAGGTTAAAGTGATTTATAAATGGTAAAATGTTATTCAAATATAAGATTATTATTTTGACTCACTTTTTGGGTCAGGCAGTTTTGAATACATGAGCTAAGTCTCTGATTATCACCACTCACAACTTCCACCATAAAAAAAAAGGGAGAGGAGGGGGCAGCCAGTTGGCACAGCGGAAAGAGCACTGGCTCTGGAGTCAGGTGGACCTGAGTTCAAATCCGACCTCATACACATAACACTCACTAGCTGTGTGACTCTGGGAAAGTCGCTTAACTCCAACTGCCTCACACACAAAAAAGTCAGTTCAGTTTTTATTTACTTGTTTTCACCAAGGTTTAATTATAGTGTTTTATTATAATGCTCTCCCCATTCATTCTTACTAACTTGTCTCCTCTGGCTTCCCTTAAAATGCTTCCCTCAAGGATTTAATCATTCAAGACATCTTATCATTTGTTTACATGGCTACAGCTAACACCGATGTGAACACAATTCAGTCACATCTTCTTACACCTCAAATTCTCCCAGCTTCTAATCACTGTCTCAGAACATTTTAGTCTGTTGCATTTACCTTTATTTCACTACTATAGCAAACCACAGCAACTTTAACCTTTAAGGTAGGTAGTCTGTAAAAACCTTCCTTTTTCACATTTATGAAACACCCACTCTTTGTTCTTTTCAAGTTCTTCTTCAAAATCTACCTCTCCCATTAAATCTTCCCCTAATCAAGAGAAGCAGGATGGTGCAGTATTTAGAGAACTGGTTTTAGAGTCCAGAGGACTGAGGACTGAATCTCCACTTCAGACAATCATCATCTCTGGGACCCCAGGAAAGGCCACCTGAGCCTCAGCTTCTATATCTATGAAAGGGGAATGATATCTGGGAACTGGAACTTCATGGGGTTATTGGAAGATCCAGAGGCATAATGTAAGCAAAGCATTTTACAAACCTTAAATCAAACAACATGTATGTAGGCACAGGAGATACAAATACAAAGAATGAAACAATCCCTACTACTAACACAGAGTTTACTATTCTAATCCAAGAGACAACAAGTACATATAAGAAAGCACAGATAGAAAGGGAATAAATACAAATATATACAACATAAACACAAGATAGTTCAGTAGGGAGGGCAACAGAAGCTGGGGGGATCTGGAAGGCTTTATGCAAATGATGGTGCTTGAGCTGAGTCTTAAAACAAGTCAGGGACTATGTAAGGTAAAGGTAATGAGGGAGTATATAACACAGGCATCTTGCGAGAGATGGAATGTCCTGAGAAATACTGTGTCAGGTGTGACGACCAGAATGTAGCCAGTCTATCTATATCACGGTGAGAGAGGGAGAACAACGTCCAACAAGACTGGAAAGACAGGTTGTGGCTGGCTTGTAGAAGACATTAAATGCTCTACTGAGTAATTTAAATCTGATCCTAAAGGGAAGAGGAAGCTACTTCAGTCAACTGAATAGGTAAGTCACATAGTAAGATCTGTGCTTAAGGAAAACTCTTTCACAAATGTGTAGAGAGGATAGGCTGGAGTAGTGAGAAAACAGAGCTTCAATTAAGAAGCTGTTGCAATAACCTAGGTCAGAGATGAGGGCCTGAGCTATGAGAGCGGAGGTAAGGTCAGGTACAAGAGATGTCATGACAACAGAAACAACAAGATTTCCTAACTGAGTGTATAGATAAGAGTGAGAGAAAATGATAAGTCCAGGATAAGTTAGGAGACTAGGAGACTGGACAGATGGTGGTACCTTTGACAGAAACTGTGGGGTCTGCAGGAAAGACTAGTGGGTAGGAATGGGAGAGAGAGAGAGAAGCAGCTTTGGTTTGGTTTGGGTTTGGGCTGAATTTAAGATGTCTCTACAACATTCAGTCTGAAATGTCTAATAAAAAACTGGGTTGAATAAAAAACTGAAGCTCAGGGAAAGAAAGACTGGGGCCAGAGTCACACAGGTTGTTATTGTTAAGTAGAAGAAATAATCAGGTACTCTTAATCCCTAATTCCTAATTATACCTCTTTTCAACCTTTATTTTATGAAGCATTATTCACATAACTGCAAGCTATTCAAAGACCTACAGAGGGTTACTTCATCTGGATCAAATGAAAATATAGATGAAAATGATCTGAAAACTGCTTATAAATGTAAGGTATGGGGCAGCTAGGTGGAGCAGTGGATAGAGCACAGGCTCTGGAGTCAAGAGGACACAAGTTCAAAGCTGTGTGACCCTGGGCAAGTCACTTAACCCTGACTGCCTTGCCAAAAAAAAAAAAAATTAAGATGAAATCATTTGGTTCAAGAGTTTCTTTAAGGAGGGGCTGCTAGGTGCAGCCCTAAAGAGCATCAGCCCTAGAGTCAGGAGGACCTCAGTTCAAATCTGGCCTCAGACACTTGACACTTACTAGCTGTGTGACCTGTCACTTAATCCCATTACCGAGCAAAAGTTTTTTTAAAAATGTTTCTTTGAGGAAAGAAATCTTGAATTCTTAGTCTATTTCATCTACAGAACTATGAAAGAGCTCCAATACTTTAATATCTCATTTAAAAAAAATTACTACGTAAGATCGCACAAAACAAAAATTCTGATATGTGGTAACTGTATAATAAAGAACATTCTTACCTCATCATCTGAATAATTATAAGCAGAGGCCACAGCTCCCCACATCTTACTGGCTACTGTAGCTGCTTGTTTCATGCCAGACTTCAGAACATCTATCTTGGGTCCAGACAAAATATTATCCAGCTTTATTCCTGACAAAGAAGTGACTACAGAGCCCAAAGATCCATGTTGTGAAGTACGCACGAGCGCTGACAAAGACGTGGAGCGCTCTTTATGTGCTCGTTGGGAAGCCTGCTGTTTGGAGTGTCCCGTGAAAGTTTTTGACCTGGATACAGAAGGAGGACTCTTCTGCTCTTCAGTTTTTTCCTGGAGTGCTGGACTGTGATCCAAGGGTAGGCTAGACCGTCGCTCTAATGAGGGCTCGAATACACCAGACACACAATCTGCTGACCCTCTGTTTTCTCGTTTGTGTAACTCCATGCTGGAAGACTTGCTCCCCAAAGGACTTTTCAAGTTCATGTAGCTCTCTATCTCATCTGCTAGATTACGCGCCACAACTGGAGACAGCATCTTCTCCTCAGAGTCAGAAGGCTTCCCTGCTATACACTCAGTGGCTAACAGAGACAGAGGATCGAGCCCAGTTTCAACATCCTCCCTTTCAATCGGTTTGGCTCCACTATAACAACTATTTCTTTTGTTTATTACATATTTGGATTCTGTTTTTAGGTCTCTGGACTGAATACCACTCCACGGCTCTGTAAGTTTATCCTCTGCCATGGTGACTCCAGCTGCACCATCATCACCATCACCAACAGTGTCTGGCTGTTCTTGCCCTTCCTCCAGCATTCCCAGGCCTGGAGATGTCCTAAGCTCTGTCCCCCAACTTCCTGCACATGCAGGAGACCTTGTGTCGGTCGATGGGCCATCCAGACCATCCAAACTCTGATCTCTCTGAACATGAAATTGTGGTAGCTTATTATAGGACAGTGCTGCAGTAAGGATCTTAGCATCTGCTCCCATCATTATTGCCATTTCACTAGAATTTGAGTCCAAACTGCTCTTTTTTAGCAACATTCCTGCTCGACTTTCAGAGCTAAAACTACAACTCCTTTCTGAAAAATGTTTTTGTCTTTTCTCTCCTTTGTCACTAGTTTTCAGATTAGATGCCTCAGTAAACACCGTATCCTCAACAGAATCCTGAGCAGAAAATAGTATATTTGATGTATTACCTAAAACAGAAAATACATAGTTAAAATTTGTTCCCAAAATGTTCTTAATAGATGTTGAGTTAAATGAAGAATCAGGTACAAATTTAAGACGAGATCAAGTAACATTGTTGGCAAACACATCTAAAGTAGCCTCTTAACTGTTATCAGGAAACCATGAGTTTCCTATTTGAAGTAGAATAATAAAAATGAACAAAACTTAGTGTTTACAATGTCAGCATAAGTCTAAAAAAGAGTAAAACACGTCCAAAAGAAACTCTTTCTTTTGGTTATCTCTTAATTTCCATAAACGTTCAGATTCATGGAAAAACTAAGTAGATGCATCCTCACTCCCTATCCCCTCAGCATACCAACACAGGTAATAGCAGAAAGAAAACCCTACATGTAAAAGGAAAAGGATAACAGTAAATGTGTGGAGAAACAACCCAACTTTCAAAACGGTAACAAGTTCTCCAGATATAAGACCAAAGGGGTAGTATATTCCAGTGACAGTGGAAATCTTTTTAATACTGGAGAAAGGAAGATGAAACCTTTTAAATTTCACCAATACAAAGATCTGCTTGCTCTCAATTGAAATCACTTAATAAACTGAGTAAAAGTCATGTGTTTTTACTTTTTAAACAACAAAGATTTGGTAAGAACTCTGGATAAATTACACAACAATTGTCATTTTCATTACGTTGCTTCCCAGAATTCTATAGATTTTTTTCATCTTTCCAAATTATTTTCAGTTGGCAATTATATGGCTTAAGCATCAGAAGATTCGAACTTTTTGATGGATTAACTTTTTTTTTAAGCACTTAGACTGATGCCTTTGACCTGATCTTTAACAAGTACTGAGAAGCTGTGGCATCTCTAGAATGCTAACTCAGTTTTATCTTATTTAATGTAGATTGCCTTCCCCTTCTGCAATGAACTAAACATTCAAAAAAAGCAGGGCACATAAGGTGTAGAAATAAGATAGGGGAGAAAAGAGAAAAAATTTAATTACTGTTTGATAGTACTTGGACTATTTCCTATCTTATTTATCTGTCAGTTTTGATACAGAGGAAGATCCCAATAACCTTTTAGTCACATAATTGAAATAAGAAGCCACCTGGCATAAATTTCAAGATTCAAAAGTCATTATTCCTACTTCTACCTGCCCTTTTTTCCAACACTGAAGGAGAAGAGGTACAAAAGCTTCAAAGCAAATGTAATACGAAAAGAGGGAAGTTTACTCTGCATATAGTTATTCACAAAATAAACTCTATTATTTTTTCTGGTATATTTTACTCCATGGGATTTTCTATCCACACTACAGCTGACTTCACTGAAATCACAGGGTCACAGATTTAGGGAAACTAAGACGCAGGGAGAGCTTAAGTAACTTGTCCAAGGTCTTACACCAAATGAGCTGCAGAGCTGGGATTTCAACCTAGTTCCTGTCTCCAAATCCACCACTCTTTGCACTGTACCATGATGCCTCCTTATGAATTACTGCTATCATCAAATGAGGATATAGAAGAGGTATCAATCACAAGATCCTCAGTATACTCAAACTCAGATAATTATCATGGGGAAGGGCTGATACAGAAAAAGCAGTCACTTCATGGACATGTGGACGATTACACATTTTCAACTATAACCCATTAGAAGTTTAGTTCCTTATAGAAGTTGGATTGATAACCAAACCAAATGACCCCATTACAAGTAGATGGTTTGAGGCTCTCTTGAGGTTGAGGGCTATGGCAGCACATATAAGCACATGACTACTTTATCATTTATCTGTTCCAGAAAAAACACACGACGGTCTTTGGTTCTTCTTGCTGGCTCTAATAAGCCTGGGTGGGAACAAAATAAGATTTTTTCCCAGAGAGAAGGCACGTCAAAAAAAACCCTTTAGTCTACTCAATCTTTGTGGTCAGAAACTGAATATTTAATAAATAAATGACTCCTTGTGCTCTTCGTTGTGGGCAAGCAAATATTTATTGTCTCATTCTGCTTAACTAACAAACTTATAATTTTCACTGGCTTTTCACGTTAACATCCTTTAATAGTGTTGTGCCACTATGGGTCAGAATTACTTCCTGTTCTTCAAAATATCAGTTACCACCAATTCAACAACTCTGTACAGTCCAGACGTGTTTTAAGTGCACTACAATATGCCATTTCAACTTGCATTATGTTCAATATGCCATGTTAGACAATAAAGGGACCCACCGGTGCTACTTTTCCGGCTGCCGGTATCAAAAATGCCCGATGGAACTTTCACAATACTGCTCCCCAACGTGGGTACTTCTACAGAATTAAAGGGCTCTGGACTCAGCTGCTGTAGCTTTTCCACAAAAGGAGGGACATCAGAAACTTCTGAAAGGAAACATCAATGACATGGACAGGAACGGTAACAAGAAAAGCAAATTTTAAGATGTTAACATATTTTCTGTTACTTAACTCTTAGTTTTTGTTTTCCCCACACGGGGCAAATATTGCCAATCCAAGAGTATTTGAATCAATTAATGTCAATCAATAATGCCAGAACCAATCTACTTTATCTCACATCAACCAAACTGAGAATGTAAACTAGCTACGAATACACTTAGAAGGCACTCCTAAAGGTGCAGGCCCGTTTTTGTACAGCCACATTCCTGATTATCTGCAAACTTGGAGTAGAGTTTATTAAAAGCATGGCTATATAGTGAAGGCTAGCCAAGAAATTCATTCATTCATTCATTCATTCATTCATTCATTCATTCATATTCATTCCATACATCTCCACTTTCTGTCAGAATTCATAGTCTTCAAAACCACACAATTTCTTCAAAGGGTGAATGACTAGGTCGGATGATCACTCCTAGTAATGCTTAGTAAAGCAGTTAGGCCATTTTAACCGTGCCCCCCCCCAAAAAAAAAGACCTTCCTGCCCACCCCATAAGAAACCTGTGATTTCTGACAGTATGGCACAGTGTAAAGTAATGGTGTCAAACTCGAATAGACAGGATTCCCTGTCAACACATATTGACTTAGAAAACCACAAATTAACATTATCTATGTTGAACTATACTTTTATTCATTTTGTTAAACATTTCAGAATTTTACATATCCCCAAAATTATATTTTAATCTGGTTCAGTCCACTCAGGAGTTTTATGGGTCACTTGCTACCAGGCATGAGCTTGACACCTCTGGGGTAAAGGGCACTGGCATGATAATCAAGAGACCTGAATTTTAGTGTTGGTTCTGCTTCTATCTGGATGACCTTAGTCTGCAACTTAATTCAGTCTCTCTAGATTCAACTAGCACTGGGCCTAATGACAGAAGGAAAAAATCCCAAGTTATATTTAAGTTTAACTAGTTATTGAACACCTATTTATTAGTGTTGAATATCAAGCCAGGTACTACATTAGGCACAGAACAGGAGACAAAAGTGAATAAGCCTTGCTTACAAGACACTTATAATCTAGTAGGGAAGATAAACAAAGTAAAGCCACTCCACAGCAATACTTAACTGTCTCTCTGGGCTTTTGTCTTAGTTAACAATTCTTCCTCAACGTGTGCTTCGGGTACATGAACACTTTCTGCATCATCTTTTATAAGTTCATCCTTTGATCCATATCCTTGATCAGACTGACCACCTATTAGAACAAACAGAAATCATAATATTAGAGACATCTGATGCTTAGCATTTATGAACTTATCCAAGTTTTTTTTATAATAAAGTTCCATTTATTAGGTATCACAATTGCATCCCAGAAAACAAAATTTTAGGGTTTAAGGAGATCAGAAACTTTATAAAACAAAGAAGACACTTTCAAATGACAATAAATAGCAAAGGACATTGAAAACAAGAAAGTTAAGATCATTATGTATCTAAAAATATTTCCCTTTGAATTTGAAAAACCCAGTTACTATAGGATATTATGAAGAAAGGCAAAGCTGGTCAGCATCAAGAACCTCAAAGCAAGATACAGGAGAAAAGAAAATATACTGCAGACTCCCACAATCCAGTAAGCATTTTATCACCTTACAAGAGGCAAACTTACATATTAAGACATGTGGCTATGACAACAAAAGAACTGAGAATGTAATCAAATATACTGATCATTTTTTGCCCAAGATTTTGAGAATTATGACAAAACTTTTAGAGCATCTGAAATTTGGTACCTGCTTTCAACTTATAGAGAACAATACTGAGCTAGGAGCAGTTTCCCATATGTCACAAGTAGCTACTGATACAACAGAGACATACATCACAGACCACATCTATTGCAACTATTACTACTGTCTGAGTTTTAGCCATCATTTCAAGTAGAGTTACAAGATAACTAAAGTGGGATGTGAATGCTAGTCTTCTAGAGCTAGACAGAATACTCCATCCCAGTTGACAGTGATAATTGAGAGGTCAGAGTCCCCATCACAGGCGTTATGTTGGCCTTGTCATGAGGTCTAGAGGAAGGGAAGGAGAAACTTTGTTAGGTAACAATATTCAGTGAAAAAAATCAGCTCTGGTCTCTCAAGAACAGAAGCCCATTTTCTCTACTGGCATTGTGCAAAGACCATGGTAGCCATCCCAGGAAACAGCTGACACTCACACTTAAAGGACCTTCAAGTCTGCTGTAACAGTTGGATTATTCACTAACTAGATTCTCAAGCATATACAAACATGCTGCTGAGGCTAGGGGAAGGTAATTTCAAACACAATAATTTTGCTGACTAATTTGAAAGGGGCAAATGGCTCCTTATAAAATATAAAACAAGCCTTACATAATATCTCATGCATACTGCAAGGATCACAGTGCTCTACACACAGCAGATAGAAAAGGCACTTATTAAATGTCTGCTGAATGAAAAATAATATGATCCAGTATAATGTGGGTACATATTAGCCTCTATTAGAAAGGAATTTAATTACTAAAATATCTAAAACACTAAATTTTTAAGCTGGTTTCAAACAGGAGATGGTCCCATTATACAGACCTCAAAGTTAGAAATTAAAACTAAGCTTCAAGTAATTACCATGCAAGTTCAGAAACCAGTTTTGGAAACTACCCATGAAATCGTAGCTGGATATTTGCAGAAGATCCTACACAAAATGTGAGGGAGAAAAGGCAAGGCACCTAAGATAGTTTTCCATTTGGAGCAATGTTTCCTACATAAGTAGAAAGCTCTCCCTCCCCTTACTTGTCAGCAAAATGTAACCTAATAAATGGGAAATTACCTGCAGGAGTTAATATTCAAGGGCAGAAATAATGCCCACGTGTATCCATGGCTTCACGTCCTACAAGTCTGTCTGCACCCCACACCATGACAGCCAAGGACACATGCAGCACCAAGAAACAGCACAGAGCGAAAAGCAGAGCAACAAAGATCAGAGAGAAGGAGACTCCAGTCCTTGAGACAAGAACATCAGAGGAAGCACAGGAACGAGATTCGGGATTCTCTTTAAGAAAAAGCTCGAGCTATTAACAAAAACATGAGAGGAGAAGAAGAAGGATGTGCGACACACACACACTGGCACAATATGGTAATTTACATTATGCCTATCTTTAACTTTAATGGACAGAGGTTATCATCCATGGTTATATTTAATAAATCTTTGAAGTAACTTGCCATAGCAGGTAATTCCACAATAATGAGTGTTCCTTATAGATACCATATCCCCCTCTGTCTATATGTTTATAACCTCAAAGTTTTCTGAGGTTATACTATATAATCAGAAAAAGAATTTCCAAATCATATCCCAAATTAAAGTTTTAATCTGACATTTCTATCAATAATATTGCACAGTTCCACAGATGTTGGTGGACTATGAAAGTAGTTTAAAAAACATTATGCTACCTGCTCTCCAAGGGTAACTCTCCCTTTAGAGTACTGACTGATCCAATACCGTGAGTTGACAATACTCTAGTTTCTTTCCATGTGAATATATTAAGTGGCACTGAAAAGTATTCATATCGCACAACCTCAGGAAAGGAAAAGCAATGTTTAAAACAAATTGGAAGATATTTAACATGAGAGTACGTGATGGGTTAGTGAAACCCAGAAGGATTTAGTACCTGTGCTAGAGTGATTATCAATGGAATCAAGCCTGATTAAATCTCTGACGAAGAGTGTGTGCTCCCCATTGTTAGCATCATTAGAACTATCCACGCTACCATGGCTCACCGTGTCCCCATCACTTCCACCTGTGGGATTCCGAGGAGCTAAAGATAAGGGCAACAGCAGCTCAATAATACATGTACTAATACCTGTGAAACTAAACACAAACAACTCACTACACATTTAAAGTTGCACCAATAAATAATCCTGGACCAACGTAAAGTGTGACTTTAATATAACAAAGGCATAATGTAATGCTTCTCATAACATCCAATTTTTAAATATTAGAAAAACTAAAAAGTTCACCATGCTATACAAAACAATATGTTTCATGGCTCAATGTGGAAGTTTATCTCTGATCACAACTTATACATTACCTGATACTTGTGTGGCCTTTTTAAGTGGCTGCTTAAATTGTGCGATGCCACACACAACGTTCCGTACCTTCGTCCATAAGAAGGTACCACTGCGATTACTGCTAGGCCATGGGCTCTCCAAAACTACCTAACAACAAAAATTGTTTCATTAGGAAATTACATAGAACAAGATCATCCACAGAAACCTTCATATTTCAAAAAGCACTGTCAAGAATTAAAAACAACAACAATGTGCATCTAGGTTACATAATAGTCTATTACTTACCTTATTGTAATAACCATAAGTAATTGCATTTGGTTGTATTTTAGCAATTTTCATTTCAAATAAGACTCGAACTGCTAGAACAGGATGACCCCAAAGTCCACAAAGTTGCATTACAACACGATAGCACACCTAACAAAGTTGAGAACATGCTATGAATTAGTTTAAAACATTCATACGCTTGTGCTGAATTTAAAATGACTCAAATATACACAGGAGAATATATAATGCATTCATAACATCTTTTCCCCTACATAACAAAGATCTAGCTATTTTTAAAATTTTCTAACAAGAACTACTTGGAAAAATTTGACAACTCTGATCCATGAAATCAGCAAACTTGAAGGACTTGGAATGAAATATACTTTCTACTTCCGGAGAAAGAGGTGATGGACTCAGAGTGAAGACTGACACCTATTTCTTTGGTCATAGTGAAGGGGGGAATTTCTTTCGACGTGTTATGCTCCTTTATAACAAGGGTTTTCTTTTTTATTCTTCTCAACAGACAAGAGGAGGGGAGAGAAGGCAGATTTTCACAGATTGAAAAAAAAAATGTGAATTCAGAAACAGAAGAACATTCCAAATAACTAATCATAAGAAAAAGGAAATCAATACAATCCTGAGGTTTCATTTCATACGCTGTCAACAAAAGTACTGTCATAAATATTTTGGTGTTTCTGGGAAGTTTGTTCTTATCACCAACTTCCTTGAATTAGTATAAACCAAGTAATGGAATCTCAGAGTCAAAGGGTATAGATATTTCTGTCACTTTATTTGCATCATGCCAAATTGCTTTCCAAAATAATTACACTGATTCAACATTGATAATTCCCATCTTTTGTTATCTTTGCCAATTTCCAAGATATGAAATGAAACTTCAGGATTGTACTGATTTGCATTTCTCTTATTATTAGTTATTTAGAATGTTCTTTTATTTCTTAATTCAATTTTTAATTTTTTTCCTCTTCTTTCTTTTTTTATTAGTACACTTTTGTAGAGAATGGTAGGTTGGTTTACTCTGGAGATGTTAAAGCTATTTGCACATCTGTAATTTTCTAAACAGTAAAAATAAAATCCATCTTAGAATCAACCATTTATAAAATATAAAATTTTTGTACTTACCTCATCCAATGGATCCACATCTAATTTCCTCATCTTAATAAGTACATCATATGCTTGCTGCAGTGCTTTCACTTTAGGATGAGAAACTCTAACATAAGCTGGCAAACAAATGAACCATAAGCTGTAACAATGACTGAACAGGCACTTAGCCCACTGTGGTGGGTTTGCATAATATCTCTTGGCCAATTTATGAGCTGTTTTTATCTCCTAGAAAAAGAAAATGAAAAAAAATTATACCCAATACACCCTAAATTCAAAAAAGAAATATAAACAAAACTGCATTCTAAAATTGGCACCTTAAAAATAAATTTTTTAAAAAACCACTTCCTCAGATTTGTAAAGATTTATTTAGACTAGCAATTCTCTTCTGGAATACCACCTAGAGGGATGAAATCTTGTTATTTATAACAACTTTTTGGAGAAATTAAGAAACTGACCTCACCCATTATTCAAAAATGGATAAACATCATAAATTCAAAACCAAACATATCATCCTGTGGAATCTTCATTGGTTCTTAGAGACTGCATATTTTTAAATCCTGAAGTTGTCCAGTTTCAACCCTACTGAATCAAAGTATTCAATTCAACAAATATTCATTCAGCTCCTATTGTTTATGCTTTGTGCTGGGTATACAAGATGAAAAAAAAAATGAGCTGAAAGGGTTTACATTCCAATAGGAAGAAATAATAAATGTTCACGAAAAAAAGATAATGCAAGGCAAAAGGTTCTTTCAGCCTCTAAATCCTATGATATCGTATCCTATGATAATTTCAAAGGAAAGTAACAAGATAATTTGCTGTGGAAGATTTAAGAAGGGAGAGACCACTATCATACTGAAGCAGAGGAAAAGGATACAGAGAAGGCTAAATGGAAGAAGTGGCACCTAAGCTATGACCTGAAAGAAGCAAAAGATTTCAAAATATGTAGGAATGTATGGGGAGTGTGCTACCAGTGTGGAGATCTGCTTCCATAATGGCAGAAGTGCAAGGAACCTTGGGGAGTAACTGGATTAGGGTAAGGCAATAAGAGATTAAAAATGATCTCTAATATTCTGAGCCTGGAAGCACTGTAGTGCCATCTACGGGAATAAATTGGGAGGAGGAAGAACATGTTTTGAAGGAGATGTTAAGTTCAGTTTTGGACATGTTGAGTTTGAAGCGGACAGGATGTGTAAGATGTGTGAGGGGACAGGATGTTTAGTTGGCAGTTGAAAATGCAGGACCAAACTACCAGAGCTCAAGGAAGAAATTGAGGATGTAGTTAAAGCTCCAAACCTCCTGGTTTACTACAGATATTTACCTTAATGACTAGTACGAAAAAAAGTAGAGTAAATTTTCTATTCGTAATTAAGCCAGACCTGCTGTTAAGCAACTAGACTTAGTTTTCCAAACACATTCTCTTTTTATATTTAAATGATATTCTGAGCATATTTGGTTCCAAGAATTCTCTAAAACCATACATATATTTGAGAATTCACATTAAGCAAAGATGCAGGATTGAAATTATATTGAAGGTCTAATAAAAGTCAATAGTGATACCTTAATAGGAACTTAGTAATTATCCAATTTATGTGTGTCCCGTCCCCTCACTCCTCCTTCCTTCCCCCTACCTATGCCCAAGAGAGCATAAGTTTTTAGAGGCAGGGACCAATTTTTTAAAAAATTTTTAATCTCCTATACTGAGCATAGTGTTTTATGTATAGTAAGAACTCAATACGTTGAACTGACTAGCTACTGACATATGAATTACTTGTTATACATACATGCATATATTTTTATGTTTTAAAAAACACATATTATGTCAAGTTCAACCCACCTGTTTAGTCCTTTTAGCCATGAGGGCTGGACTGTTTGAAATGTTATTTCCTGCAGGATGTCTGTTGAAAGGAATTTTCAATGCCTGTGGTCTATCAAAAAGCTTAAGATCCAGTCTGGGAAAGTTTTTGTAGCTTAAGAGAGAGAAGGGAATGGTATTAGTTTAAATTAGGGTTTTTTTTTCTTTCCGTGGTTATTTAAAAAAAAAACCAGTTAGTTCATTTTCTTCCAAAACTTCAATTGTATCTATGTATTTGATAAATTTAGCCCCCCAAAAAGTGAGAAATTTTTTTAAAAATCAAACTAGATATTTAAATTACACAAAAATAATCACATTCTGATACCTTATTTGACAGACTGAATACTATCTTCGAGTTTGTGATGTGTCAAAAGGATAGATAATAGTATACAACTGAAACTACAACCTGTATGCCAGTGTTAGAAATCATACAAATATTTAATGCAGACATTTAATTCTAGTTGTAACTGTACTGTGAAGAAAAAAAAACAAACGCTAAAAGTCAGGTTCCAGATGACATTCTTTTTTTCTACCTGATTGTTAAAAAATTAGCTAAAGACATACTTGAAATAACAGCTTCTTTTAACAATGTTTCCCTTAATGACTTAGTCCAGGGGAGGGGAACCTGCAGCCTCGAGGCCACATGAGACTCTCTAGGTCCTCAAGTGCGGCCCTTTGACTGAATCCAAACTTCACAGAAATCCCCTTAATAAAAGGATTTGTTCCATAAAATTTGGACTCAGTCAACAGGCCACACCTCAGGACCTAGACTGCCACAGGTAGCCTCTAGGCGGAAAGTTCCCACCCCAAGTTAGTATATGTAAAAAGCACAATAACCACACAATCTATTTAAGATTTGAGGTATTTTAAGGTTTATGAAACAAGCCTATAAAACTGTTCTCAAAAATGCATCTCATTAGCTCATTAAATTGTGGTAGGAAAGAAAACTGAAGTTGTTACAGATATTTGAATTTATATCCAGATTTTTCTTTGATGAGGTGATTTTTTTTTAAAAGAAGATATCAAAGGAATCATAAAATATATACTTAAACTCTTATCTCTTTATTTCTTATTCTAGAGCCAATAAACAGTTCTGTTTTCTCCTGGTTCTACAGATTACCTATATTTAGGTGACAGGTCTTGTCCATCACTAACAGGTGGCTCTGGTGGCATTATTAAGACTGTATGTTCACTCTTCTGGGAGTCATCTAGCTCTATCAACCTGGTATCTTCTGCTGAGTCTAAATCAACCTGAGAAAAAACAAAAGCCATAACCCCCAAGTAATTTATATAACACATAATCCAGAATGTCAATATAGATTTCACTGTTATTTAAAAAAAATACCTTATCTGTTTTTTCAGTGCCTTTATCAGGAAATAGCTAGAAAGAAAAAATAAAATCAGATAAATGTATTTTTAAAAAGTATTTCCCCATATTTCCCTTTTTATAATCAAAGGTGACATAAAATGAAAATATGGTATCTCTAGTCCAATCTATTTAAACAAGTTAGTGACTCTGAAAATGATGTCTAACAAAAAAAAAATAGTGAGGGTAACAATTTATTTTATTTATTTTCTGTTTTTGTTTTTTTTTGGTGAGGCAACTGAGGTTAAGTGACTTGCCCAGGGTCCACAGCTAGTAAGTGTTGTGTCTGAGGCCAGATTTGAACTCAGGTCCTCCTGACTCCAGGGCCAGTGCTATATCCACTGTGCTACCTAGCTGCCCCTTTATTTTTCCAATATTTAACACTTATTTTCCCTTTCCTAATCCTGCTTAAAATAATACAATAAAAACAGAACCCCTTGTAATATGAACACATTATCAATGTGCTAAATGATGTCTCATTCTGCATCTTAAGAGTTAGTAATCAGAAAGTATTATCAGTTTATCTGAATAGTGATTGGTCACTGTAGTCTTTCAAAGTTGTTTGTTGCTACAATGTTGTTACTGTATAAATTGTTCTGGCTTTGATCACTTTTGTCCAGTGTCTGAAACCATATCTTTTATCATTTCTTTATTACATAATAGCAATCCATTACATTCATAACAGAATTTGCTCAATTATTCCCTGAAGGATGAACATCTTCTTAGTTTCCAATTCTTTGCCACTACAAAAAGAGAAGTTATCCATTTTTTAAATGTATGGTTCTTTTGGCTCTTTCTTTGGGATACGTCTTAAAAGTGGTGATTTTAAAGGCATTTTTTTCTTTAAAACAGCCAAATAAAATTGTTGAATATCTTGGTTATATTGATAGTTGCTGTCAACTTCTACTTTAAGGAATACCCGCCCCCCAAAAAAGTTGAGTACTTTTATCAAGATCAAACAAGCCATCCGATATTGCCTCTTAGAATTGGCTATATTTTCACTGCTATAGCCATTATGAACACTGTTATTTTATATCTGCCTTCTTCATTGGGTTTTATCATATACCTCATGTTTCTATAAATTTTTCATTCCTTACAGAATGGCAATAATCCATTACAGTGGTTGAGCCATTTCCCAATCCTATTTAGGCTCATACTTTATTTCCAATTTTTTTGTCACAAAAAATGCTAAGAACATCTTTGTAGACATGGATCTTTTTTTCTGGCTCTCAATAATCTCCTTGTGGAGTGTTATCAGTATGGATTTCTCTGAATCAAAGGGTATGTGCAATATAGTAACTTTTCTTGTGTAATTTCAGTGTTCTAGAATGTGCAAACCAATTCATAAATAAACCAGCAGTAAAAAACTGTAGTGCTTGTTTTTCCTAAGTGTCCTCTAACAATGAATTTTCATGTCTTAACTAATTTAAGTGCATGAAGTGATAGCTCAGGATTGTTTTAATTTCAAAACCTTTTCATCCCTACTCAAACCTCCCATCACTCCCCCTAATGCCATTCTCTCAGATGAGAACCTTGTCTCGCATTTTTCATAAAAAATTAAGGCCATTCACTGTTAACTCCATTTTCCTCATCTCCTATCACTAAGGTACCTTCTGCCACTCTCTCCTCTTTCATCCATCTCATATGATGAAGTGGCCTTATTCCTTACCAAGGGCTTACCCTTCTACTTGTTCAAGTGATCCCATTCCATCTGGTCTCCTCCAAAAGACTGCCTTCAATCTCTCCCTCTCTATTGGCTTTCCCTACTGCTCACAAACATGACCCTCATTCTGAAAAAACCCTCACTTGATCTTCTTCCTCTGATAACTATCATCCTACATCTCTTTTGCCCTTTGTAGTTAAACTCTTTGAAAATGTCATCTACAATAGATGCTTCCACTTTCTCTTCTTATCTCCTTACAATCCAGCTTATTATTGCACTGAAACTATTCTCTCCAGTCACAAATGATCTCTTATTTGCCAAATCCAATCATCTTTTCTCAATCTTCATTTCTGACCTCTCTGCAGCCTTTGATACTGTTGACCACTCTCTTTTCTTGAGCTTTTGGGTAACCACTCTCTCCTGGTTCTTTCTATATGACCACTCATCTCTGTCTCCTTTGTTGGATACTCTTCCAAATCATGACCTCTAACCGCATGTGTCCTGCAGGGTTCTGTTCTGGGTCTTCTTCTCTTCTCCCTCTATACTACTTCATTTGGTGATCTCATCACATCTTATGGATTTAATTTCCATTCCTCTGCTGATGATTCTCAGATCTACCTATTTTGCCCCAATCTCTCTGCTAACCTCCAACCTTGCAACTCAAACTTCCTTTTTGACATCTCAAACTGAATTCCAGCAGATATCTTAAACTCACTATGTCCAAAACAGAACCTATTATCTTTTCCCCTAAACCCTACCCCCCTTCCTACCTTCCCTATTACTATGGAAAACAACACCATTCTCCTAGTCCCTCAGGCTCACAGCCTAAGAGTCAGTCATCCTGGATTTCTTACTATCTCCGACCCCTTACATCAGCTATTGCTCAAGCCAGTCAATTTCACCTTTGTAATACAAACACACCCCCTTCTTCTCTGACACTACCACCACTCTAGTGCAGGCCCTGATAATCTCATGACTAGATTACTGCAACAGTAATCAGGTGGAACTGCCTACCTCAAGTTCCTCCCTACTCCAATCCATCCCATCCTCTATTCAGCCACTGAAGTGAGTTTCCTATAGCATCTCTCTCTCTCTCTCTCTCTCTCTCTCTCTCTCTCTCTCTCTCTCTCTCTCTCTCTCACACACACACACACACACACACACACACAAAATATTCCAATGGCTCCCTACTGTCTTCAGGATTAAATGTAAAATGCGACGCTTGGCCTTCAAAGCCCTTCACAACCTAGCCTCCTCCTATCCTTCCAGTTTTCTTATATCTTACTCCCCAACACATACTCAAGTGCCACTGGCCTCCTGAATGTTCCACAAACAAGATGCCCCACCTCTTGGCTCTGGGCATGTGCTCTAGCTATCCCTGTGCCTGGAATGATATCCTTCCTCCCCTCCAATGAATGGAGTTCCTTTAAGTCCCAACTAAAATCTCAACTTCTAGAGGAAGCATTGTCCAGCCCTGCTTAATTCTAGTGCCTTCCTTCAATTAATTATCTCCTTTTCATCCTGTTCGCTTGTTGTCTTCCCTGTTAGATCACAAGCTCCCTGAGAGCAGGGACTGTCTTTTGCCTCTTTTAGTATCCCCAGTTTTTAGCACAGTGCCTGGTACACAGCAGGCACTAGATAAATGTTTACTGATTTATTTTGAATAACTTCATATGTGGTTGAGTTTTTCATTTGCATTTCTTCTTTTGAAAATTTCATTTTCACAGAACCCAGGTCAAACATCAAGTCCAAAGTCAAGAAGTAGGTTAGAAGAATGGGCAAATAAAAAAAAGAACCCTACCATAATGAGCTACCATATGGTGTCAGACAAGCTCAAGACAAAAATCCAGAACAGAATTCTTGAAAACACCTATAAGCAATGCCTCAGAGAAGAACATGGCTTGGATTCAAATGTAAGTAAAATTCTTGGAAAAAATGAAGCAAGAATTTTCCAAAAAAAATTTTAAATTGTTTTTATACATGGAATGAGAATGTTTGAGGTGAAAGTTGGAAAAGAAATGAAAGCTATGAATAAATAACTGGAAAAGGGATTAAGGGCTTGGCATAAAGGTACAAAATCTTGCCCTAATAATAGAGTACCTAAAAATTCAAATGGATCAAACAGAAACCAATGACCATGTGAGGCAACAAGAAATATTTTTTCAAAAGGCTAAAACAAATTTTAAAAAATGTTTGGTATCTCATAGAAGAAATGACTTAGAAAACGGATTGAGGAGCTATTGGGCTATCTGAAAGCCTTGACTAAAAAAGAACTTATTCATCTATTTCAAGAAATCTTAAAAGAAAACTGCCCTGATCTCTTACAATCAAATGGCAAAGTGGAAACAGAAAGAATTCATCAGTCACCTCCTCAAAGAAACCCCAAAAGGAAAACTCTAATCTTGACCAAAATCCAAAGCTTCCAAGTCAAAGGAAAAATATTTCAAGCAGCCAGAAAGGAAGAATTCAAGCAGCCACCACTATAAAGAAACAGAGAACTTGGAATACAGTATTCCAGAAGGCAAAGGATATGGGCCTACAGACAAGAATAACTTACCCAGAAAAGTCAAGCATAATGCTACAAGGGAAAAAATGGACCCTTAAAGAAATAGAACTTCCAAGCATTACTGATGCAAAGACTAGAGTTCTTTTAGAAATTCTAAAGTATAATCACAGGACTGAAGAAAAACATTAAAAGGCCAATGTGATGAACAATGATAAAGGACTAAATAAGAATGAATTGCTCACATTCAGATATGAGGAAATGATATCCCCTCTGAACCTTATCTGAGAGTCCAATTACACAAGGACTAGGAGTGACTCTTATTTTTTGATGAACTTAAGAAAGAGAATGGATAGAGAGCAGATGAGGAATACACTGGGGTTGGGGGGAAGGGAAAGGAAGGTTAGGGGAAATTTTCTCACATAAGTAGGGTGCACAAGTGGACATTTATACAAAGAGTAGGCAGTGGTGGAATGGTTGAGAGTTAAACCTCATTCTTAACTGAACTAGTCAAAAGAAGAAAACACGTGCGCACATACACGCACACAGCTGGGAAGAGAAATATATTTTAGTCAATAAGGAAATAGCAGGGAAAGTGGAGAAAAGGAAGAGGAATTAGAGTAAGATTAAGGAATAGAGTAGTCTTAAGCAAAACAAATTTTAAGAATGTTAAAAAATATTTACAGGTCTTTGTGAGGTGCCAAAGAATGGGAACGTAAGGAGGTGCTCACAAATCGGGGAATGGCTGAACAAATTACGGTACATAAATGTGATGGAATATTATTGTGCTGAACTCTTATCAATGTTAAGATCAACTAGGATTCTAGAGGTCTTATGAAACATGCTACT